CACTCCGCGTTTCTTCCATGACGACCAATCACAATACTTCCCGCGCGTTCGCTATAAATTCCGCTCGCTTATCTCCCTTTTCCTTATCGACGAATATTTTCGAACATTATTATTATTATTAAAAAAAAACCCGTGTTTTTCAATTTTTTGACGTGATAATAACGTCTTATAAATCGATTACCCCGCGACCGTCGGCCGGAGTGGGGGGACCCATTAAACGAGTAATTATTTTTGACCAAGTATAACTTAGCCGGTATTCGACTTAGAGACCCCGTACCAATGGGCATCTCAATTTTTTAGGCCCCAGATGAATTTTCAACATTAGGGAACCAAAGCCCCCACCCCCCCCCCCACATTTTGAGTTGAGTATAACTCGGCCGGAATTCAAGTTAAAGACCTCGGACCAAGGGGGAACCCATTCTTTTTATGAATACTACCGTTTTCCGCTTTAGGGAACGGGGGCACCTCCTCCCCCCCTTTTTGGATTTTGCTTTTTTGATGGATTTTGGTCCGGGAGAGTACTAACACCCACCTCGCCAAGGGGAAACTCGGGGTTTTGAGTTTTTGATAGGATTTATTGGGATTTTCTTAAATATTGTTTTTATTGATAAGGAAAGTGATAAGAATTTTATTTTATCGCCGCATTTCATACATTTGCCTCGAAATTTCATCTGAGTAGGTGGCTAGGTTGGTTAGGCGTTAGGATAGGTGACTCGAGGGTCGTGGGTTCGAAACCGCCGTCCGGGAATTTCGATTATTTGCGGCGGCCGTACTAAATCGAATTTCTTAATTTTGCGTTTTTTTTTTTCGTCACATTTATCATTTTTAACGAAAGTGTTAATTTTTTTTTTAAATTTGCATTATATTATTATATATATTATTATTATTCGTTTGACGATATTTATTGGGCAAAAAAATAATTAAAATTAACATTTAATTAATACTTGATTTTACCGACGCACCTACATGTTTCTTTTATTAACACATTATAATAACGTATAACTAACCTACGTGTAGTACCTACTTGATATATTACAGTTTTTACGTGATTCCGATTTGGTTAAATACTGCTACAGATCATAAATACTATATTAAAAAATAGTACGACTATATTTGCCGTTTTTATCGAAAATTCGAGTCCCGGGGTGGAGTAGTGTGTCAGAAACGAGAGTAGGTACCGTGTAGGTATCGCTATATACAGGCATATATACATGCGCCTCGAGGTTCGATTTTTTTCGCAAATCTCGCGTCTTGAACGTCCGAAGGTGGCGGACATGGTGGTCCGCTCAAACGCCCTTAAGAGTCATAGATTTGGCTCCTAATTTCATCTCGGTAGGTGGCTAGGTAGGTTAGGCGTTAAAACGGGTGATTCGACGGTCGTGGTTTCGAACGCCGGCGGGGCCGTGTTAAATCGAATTTCTTTTTTTTGCGTTTTTTTTTTCGTCACATTTATCATTTTTAACGAAAGTGTTAATTTTTTTTTTTAATTTGCATTATTATATTATATATATTATTATTATTCGTTTGACGATATTTATTGGGCAAAAAAATTATTATAATTAAGAGGACGCCACACCCGCATGTGTTGTCTCCGTCTTACAAACGCGTAACATAGCAAATTACGTCCACGGAAAACAAACGAATCGGCATCAAAAAGTGGTTTTAGAGTAAAAATACCTATAATAAAACTTAAAGAGAACAATATTTCGGAGGGAACCTCATCGGGGTTTTGTATTAATCTAAATACACAGCTAGATATTGAAGGCACAAAAACTCTTTTTTTTAATTTTTTTAAATAACCACAACTTTTTTAATAGTTAATATTTTTAAAAACGCCGATGAGGTTCCCTCCAAAATATTGTTCTCTTTAAGTTTTATTATAGGTATTTTTACTCTAAAACCACTTTTTGATGCCGATTCGTTTGTTTTCCGTGGACGTAATTTGCTATGTTACGCGTTTGTAAGACGGAGACAACACATGCGGGTGTGGCGTCCTCTTAACATTTACCGACGCACCTACATGTTTCTTTTAATAATACATTATAATATAACTAACCTACGTGTAGTACCTACTTGATATATTACAGTTTTTACGTGATTCCGATTTGGTTAAATACTGCTACAGATTATAAATACTATATTAAAAAATAGTACGACTGTAATATGACTGCTTCATTTGCCGTTTTTTTCGAAAATTCGAGTCCCGGGGTGGAGTAGTGTGTCGGAAACGAGAGTATGTGTAGTGTATTCATTTATAGATACCTACGTTTAATAGGATAGTAGTACATTTCAATAAAATTTGTTATTCACCAATATAATTATCTATTTGTTAATTTGACTTAATTCTCATAATTAAATAAATATACATGGAAGGTATATTTTAGAAAATATCCAATCAGAAAATTAGATTTTGTCGACTTATTTGTTATAACCGCGAAAACATAACAATGATTACATTGATTACAGTGAAGCCTAACATAAAACACCTGATAACTGTTCTCTATAATTATCAACAAATACAATTTTATTACCTCCTGTATACTTTTTCATATTTGAACGGCCGTTTCGAGCACTTTTCGCTGTAGGCGGATTGTCCGTTCGGGAATCGGATTTCACCCGAGATGACTGATAGCTAGACACTCAAACTCAGAATCCGAATTTCCGATTTCAACACACATACGAGAACCGGACACACACGCCAGGTGCATGGTCTGCGATCCGACGTAGTCGGATTGCCTACCTGACTAGCTACTTGCATACGAGCGACTTACACCCCCCCCTGCATCTGACACTCGGGAATCGACTTTCACCCGAGATGACTGATAGCTAGATACTCAAACTCAGAATCCGAATTTCCGATTTCAACACACATACGAGAACCGGACATACACGCCCGGTGCATGGTCTGCGATCCGACGTAGTCGGATTGCCTACCTGACTAGCTACTTGCATACGAGTGACTTACACCCCCAGTGTCCCCCACTGCATCCGACACTCGGGAATCGACTTTTACCCGAGATGACTGATAGCTAGACACTCAAACCCAGAATCCGAATTTCCGATTTCAACACACACACTCAAGAACCGGCATACACGAATGGGGCATGGTCTGCGATCCGACGTAGTCGGATTGCCTACCTGGCTGGCTGTGTCTTACGATCGACTTGAATCGCGTGACTTACGACTAGACACTCTTCCGAGTTCAAAAATTACAGCTTAAAAAGTGCTGCCAACACGACAAAACATAATACCCGACGACCCCCCTTCCCCCCGCAGGCTGGATCAAAAAACCCAGCATAGCCGACAAAGATGCACCACCGCCCACACAGTCTTTCCGCCGTAGGCGGGATGACAAACACCGGAATCTAGTATATATATATAATATAATATAATATAATCACCTATACTCGTCGAATATATAATAGAGGTGGGTCGAACTGTTCGAAGTTCGAAAAATCGAACCGAACTTTAGGTGTTCGGTTCGAGTTCGAAAGTCGAACCAAGTCTTAAAAAATCCGAACCGAACCGAACTCGAACAAAAAAGTTCGAAAATCAAAATAGTTCGAAAATTAAAATAGTTCGAACAGCAAAAAATTCTAATATGTCAAACGTTTCGAACTAAAAATGTTCCCGATGTTTATTGTGGTGTTTGTTTTATTTTTAGTTCTCCTATTGTCTATAATCTATAAAGTTATTGTTATATAGTATAATATACAATATTCTATATTATGTACCATGTATTTAAATTTTAAATATTACAAATGTAAAATTATTAAAATTAAAACCACTATATTGTACGGGCATTGATTATTATTTATTTCTTGTGCTACTGAATTATTTATAGACTTGGATAATTATTTTGGTATTGTAGTTTTGAACTATTTATAATTTATAATTTAAATAATCGAAGTTCGTAACATGCTGAACAATATTAAAAGCCAATATCAATATTAAATATAGTTATTCATAAAAATTAAATATCTTTATCATTATTATTTGACATTTTATATTTTTATAACATTGGTCCTGACTCCTGAGTCCTACACTCCTACTACTTACTCATTAATCGTTAATTCCAAATAATAGTTATCAGTGTTATTGGTTACTGGTTACTTATAACTAAATAGTAAATATTAAATAAAAAATATTATGAATAATATTATTAATTTTCAACATTTTTTTTTTGTCCATTAAAATAAATTATATAAATAGGTACATAGTACATACTACATGTCTACATACATAGATAAATAGAATTTGATCAGGATGAAGATAAATATAATCGAGCTGAAAATTATCTACATAAAATAAAAGATAAATAATTATTATCTACTGATCTAAGTAGTATAGATTTGTATGTTCACAGTCTTTTTTTTGTGTTACCACGGTAATTTCTCAACGTTCAAGCGAGGATGTCCCGCTTGGACACAATAATTTTACCGTGTAAAAATTATGAAGAGTTTGCACACTCAAAGTCAGTTTTGTTCAAATATTTACAGTGTACACGCTAAATGGTTTTTTTTCTCAACAAACCTTATTACTAAAATGAAATAATTATTTTAAATACAGAACACAAGTTATGAAATAATAGATTTTTTATTATTGTAAATTAATTATTTCATTTTAGTAATAAGGTTTGTTGAGAAAAAAACCATTTAGCGTGTACACTGTAAATATTTGGACAAAACTGACTTTGAGTGTGCAAACTCTTCATAATTTTTACACGGTAAAATTATTGTGTCCAAGCGGAACATCTTCCCTTGAACGGTGTGAAATTACCGTGTAAAAAGTGTGTAAACTCTTCATAATTTTTACACGGTAAAATTATTGTGTCCAAGGGGGACATCCTCCCTTGAACGTTGTGAAATTACCGTGGTAACACAAAAAAAAGACTGTGAACATACAAATCTATACTACTGATCTAGATATTTCCCCACACTGTGGCTTTAAAGTATAAAGTAAAAACTATAAAGCTTTCATTTGCCATTTAATTCAAAAGTTTATTTTGGGTTCAGTTTAGTAATGAAATATATGGTACCGATGTGGTTCGATGTTGAATAAAATGCTCGGTTCGAGTTCGACTTCACACCAAAAAGTTCGGTTCGAGTTCGGTTCGATATACTAAGGTTCGGTTTGAGTTCGGTTCGATAAACGATTAAAAAGTTCGGTTCGAGTTCGGTTCGAAATACCAAGGTTCGGTTCGAGTTCGGTTCGAGACCATATTTTTGAGTTCGACCCACCTCTAATATATAAGACCATAATAATTGGCGTTTTTTTTTTTTCGTCTTCTTTTCTAACGACCTGGATAGTGGATTTTCCGTACGTGACGTCATTTTCGAACTGGTATTATTAATACCATATTTTTTTTTGTTTTTAACAGACCATATTATTACTCAACATTCAACGATCAAATTTCGCATGTATATTTTCGACTTCGAGATTAAACACGGTATTTTTAACTATCGTTTTATAATATAAAATGTTAAAACGTCAATACAAAATATTTATTATTATTAAAGTAAAATACGAAACGTTTCGAAATATCAATGTCACCGATTACACGCATGCGCTAGACTGCTGGAGAATGTATTAACCGAACATTATAGGCCATTAGGTTCAAATCATTAGGCATCCGACTATAGTGGACAGTCACTAATGGACGTACAAATATATTATCGTAAAGCGTGTACCTATACATTATAAAAACATTTGACTGCAATCATATAGAATTTCCAGAAAATCTTGAGAATAGTGTAATAATATAAGTAGGTGCATTGTATTACAAATTATAATGCACTACATCACTTCTGGTGAAACACCTCGGACCAACAGCTGCAGTTTTGCGGAAGACCTAAAACGATGAGATATTATTATCGTTTCGTTCAAGTTGGTTTTCGTATGGTCAAAATGTAATTACAGAACACCCAAACTTCACTTTCTTGCATTGATTCTATACGGCTACTTATTGTAGGATATTACTACGCGGATATTAGGTATAATAATAAGCGAAGAAGTTATATCGTCGGCCTAATTCGCAAAGGTCGTATGTCCAAAATTACAAATTGTTCAGGAGAAGAAAAAAACGTTTTACGGCCATATTATTAATTGGAGATACGACGATTTCTAATTATCAATTTCATGGAGGATAATATTATGAAATCGGAAATTTGATTGTATCAACAGACGCAGTTTTTTTTCTTTATTTTATGAGTAAATAATCCCAAAATGACAAAAAATGGAGATACGACTTTTGCCAATTAGGCCGACGATATGTGCCTTTCGTGATACTTAGTATATACAATTTATTAATGTAGCTGGTCCTCTGATTTCAGGAGTTGAGCGTCAATGCAATTACATGATTGTAATATGAATTCATTGAAACCTAGAGAGCAATTTTAATGAATACTTAGTATATACCTACCTACATTGACATTCCGAATTTATTGGTAATTTTCGTCGTTTCCACATGCCGAACATTATTGTTTTGATTAGCCCCCATTATCGAATCTTAAACTCCTGTAACGGTTTAAATAATTGTGATTTCTTAAAATATGGTGAGTTAAAATTAAAACATTGCTCCAGGAAATGTAAAAATTGTATTAAATATGTAGTTTAGTATTAATTAACTAATAATTGGTATCTTGTGTTCTTAGTTATTTCATATTATGTTCCCCTTTATCCGTTTTATATATTACACTATAGCTATTGTACTATCAGCCCACCATGGGCGTATATTATTTAATAAATTAAATTAAATGAATATAAATTATACACACTCGCGTGTTGTGGGGTTGTCGAAATCGTGCAAATGATGTATTCCAAAAACGTCACAAGTTACCGTTCAAAAAATTGAAAATAACCGAGTGCCCGAAACTGATGGAAATACTAAATAGTCGAACCCCAAGGTCAAACATCGTAAACAATTTTGTTAAGACATTGATATTCGATTATGGGTGTACGCGATGGTTATTACAAAAATTCTAGTGATATCATACTTTACTTTACATACTCATACATTAATTACGAACAATTTAATGTAGGACATTTTCTCCCCAGATTATAATAATTATAATAGTAATAAATAATAATAGAATATACAACTGCCAAAGTAAAAACATAGGTATATATAATTATTAATTTAAACATCTTTAACCATAAATCTTTCACGCTTATATTTTTTTCAAAAAATATGTTCACATACTTCTTTAATTTTAATTTTTTTTATAAAAAATAATTTGTGTGATTGGTTTTTAATAGTGCCACCAATGCGATGACTCAATAATTTTTATTTTGTCTATTTTGAATTAAAACTAAATTATGTTATAGCCTAATATATAGGTATACTCTATATGAGACAACAAGAATTTACAGTCACTCAATTTTAGGAAAATACCAACAACCGTGTGTAAAATATACACTCATAAGTCGTTGTATAAGTACACGGGGAGAAAATGTCCATCTACCATTCGTAATATCCTACATTCGAAGAGCAAGAATTGTTTCCAACCGTGGTTTGGGGCCGACTGTTTCGTGTCTTTCCATACTGCGTGACATTTCGTGTCGACTATACAATATAATTATTATATTCCATAACTACTTAGCTGGCATATACCAATAAAACACTATGTGGGCTACCGATTGGATGGGTCGTGCAGCAGGTAAAGTCCTCTCATCCATGTCGATATTGTTATCAGATAAATAATAATAACAACGAAAACAACTCCAGTGCCGTAATGGTACAATATCGTCAATAAAAATCTAATCTATATATCATATCGGAATGCGGACAGTTTGCAATATTGTCGACGAACGAATGAAAATCAGTTTTACGGAGTTACCTACATTAACGTCGTTGAAGGGCCACTAAACACGGTAATTGCAGGAAACGTATATCACACACACGCGAGCTGGCGCACGCGCACTCCATCGACAATAGTGCGCTGCGCGGATATCGAAGGACGGCGCCGCCGCCACATATAAAATAGTACATAATATAATGTTATCGTTATTTTCATATAATAATAGCAATACTCGTGAGTAATATTTGCTGACAAAAATTATCGAAAATAGTATTAATATATATGGAATAAAATATATTATGAGATATTTAAAAAAAGTTATCGACATGAAAAAAAAAACTATTTAAGACACCGTCGTCCGTCAGGTTGTCCATAATTCTTGACCATCGACCGATCCCCAACGTCAATATGACATATTTTCTAGTCGATTTTTTTTCTCTACTTTTGGTTTCTTTTCTCGTAGATACACACACACACACATGACCTGCATCCAGCCCGAGAGTGGCCGGGAGTTCGTTCACCTGGCTCCCCGGGTCACACCCATCTGCGCGGAGCCGACCTCTAACTGGTTTCGTACCCGGCAGGGAGAACAAACGCTATGCGAAGGGGGGGACTACGACTTCGGGTACACGACGCTGCGCCGTCGCCGCCGAATCGTGTACGCACACGCTCACATAAGCCGCTATATAAGCACGTATTTACAATAATATTTTTATACGCGTGTTTATCGTTAAAACGTCATTAACGCGGTCGCAAGATTGTGGTATATATATAGTTACATTTAGGTACCGCAAACTCGGTCAGTGCATTTGATATCACCGGCCCGTGAGAGAGGTAGAATTTTTAGAAAAACAACAAGACCTTTAACTATTATAAGTTAAATTGTCCCCTCCCAACGAAGCTCTCGCACGACGTCGACACGACAAAATACAATGTGTACAATATTATATGATATTATTGAGGTTGTGGAGATAAGGCACATCGCTGTAAACGCAACGCTAAAGATATACGACTCGTATTGAAAATAATAATACCTACTACTGCACTATAATATAATATTATATTATATAAACCGAAAATCCGACGCGTCTAACGGTAAAATCTCGCCTCGAGAGGGCGCAACAGTAAATTCGGTTGTCTTGGTCTCGCGCACCCGTGTAATGTATATTGACAAGTGACAACCGAAATTAAAATGGAGGTATAATATAAATTATAGTGCCCTTGTCAAAAACTATCAGCTATAAAGTTCATGTTTTATTGTAGTGGGATATTTTTAGAAACTTTGATATAGAATGATCCGTATTAAAAATGGTAATTGGAATAAAAATCCCCAAAACAAAAATTGATATAATAATACAAGTATAAAATAAAATAAAATTGTATTCAATATTTATTTTAAACATTAAATACAACTAAGTTTTTTAATTTAAAGATTCTTTAATACTCGGTTAATAAAAACTACCTATATTATACAATATTTTAATAATATGATATAATCAATAATCATTAAAGTTACCTATCTATATCTATACAAGTGTATAGTTAAATATTAATAATGTTCTGAACAATTTAAAAATATTTATGAAATCACTTTAATTCAAAACTGCTGTATGAGCAGTAATATTGTATTCCAGGAATTTTTATTTCGCCATTCATCAAAGATATCAACAGCCATTTCCACTATGACCATGTGCAGTGGAAGATAGCCCACTGATTTTACTGCAAACTGTAAAGGCCTGTCAAGATCAAAACGGATCGGGGTCTTATTGGTGTATATTAGATATATTATAGAATATGATGATTAGAGTGTCAAGTAAGTGGTAAGTCGTCATCACCAAAAAACTAGTCAAGAATTAAAAAAATTAATTAATAAAATTTAAAGTTTTCGTTCTTCCGTCGACAATACTGCAGCTTAATAATAACCAAGATACTAACAGTAAGTACCTCTAAATTAATTATCTCTAAGACCTGGTAAATCAAATATTTAATTAACGCGTGTTTGCAGCTGTTGAGAATGTTGAGATGTTGAACGAAATCGATTATCGAAAACACACAGCACGTGGAGACTTTAACGCCGGTGACTAGGGACACTATTATGACGTAGTGCGATATCCATTGATTATAAACACTCGTGCAGAGAATCATCGACAGACGACAACGTTTGTTGAGACATACCACGATGATCTACAGCATAAAATATAGATTCTATATTCGCACCAATCACACCTAGAATACCTATCAATATAATATAGGTTTAAACGTAGGTATATCGGGAGGTCGTGTCGAATTTCTCGGTTTCCGCACTCCGTTTAAAACATATTGTATATCTGATATATTATAAAGATAAATGATATATTGTCTGAAAAATCAAATCTCTCTTGCTCAAAACCTAACAATTTAAATATAATATAAATTTTCTGGTCCACGTGTGTACATATTATAACGTTTACCGTACATGTTACTTGCACGTGGGTTTTGCGGTCTACCAGTACTTATTTCAGCGTATATATGGTAAAACACATACGTAAAACCAC